GCCCTTCACCGTCACTACAACATATACGGTACCGGCGATCCTGTCTGCGTTCAGACTTTGGCCAAACCTCACATTGACCTCGGCGGTTTCAGCCCGGTTATGTGTTCGGGTAACGTTTGGTGCTGAACGCGTCGCTATCCGTCGCATATTTCCGCCATTTCGTCACAATATTTCATTACCGCTAGTTGTTACGTGGGTAAAAGTCCTATTTTTAGGGCCTTTACTATATCCAATTCCTTATATGTGCTGTTGACCATGCTTGTGTGTGCGATACAAGACTGATACCAACCTACTTTTACTGAGTTTTATATCTCGACTTGGAGATACGTATTCTCATATAATTTATCATTTATCTACATCAAACCGTCTTCCCTTTTCAGGCCTGCCCCGGCGTCCCAAACAGCTCCCGCAGACGGTAGCGCGGCGAGGAGGTGTGGAAGTGCGTGATGCCGCGAGCATACGCCTCAAAGTTGGCGCGGTACTCGGGCGCGTCGGCCAGCGTCTTCAGCACGCGCCCGTAGACCTGGATGCCCTCGTCGGCGAGGGCGCGCTGTGCCGCGACGACGTCGGTCCCGTCCTTCTCGGCGCGCATGTCGATGTAGTTGCCCTTCTCGCCGGCGAGCAGCTCCTTGTAGAAGGAGATGACGTCGTTGACGATGTTGGTGAAGACGATGACGTCCGGGACCGCCTGGACGAACCTCTCGAACCCGCTGCCGCCGTCTCCGGCCCGGTCGTGGTCGTCGACGTCGGCGTGCCGCGCGAGCGCCAGCAGCGCGTACATGGGGGACAGGCCCGTCTTGAAGCGCAGCCACTCGGGAAACTGCGGCGCCTGGGCGTGCACGGCGGCCTCGCGCGTCCGCAGCTCGATGCCGATGCCGTTGACAAAGTCGTAGCAGGCCACGACGATCATGTTGGCGACGAGCGGGTCGAAGTGCCGCCACAGGTCCGGCGTCAGCTCGCGGGCGTACCAGTCGAGCACGGGGTCGCCGAGGGCGCCGCCCTGGGCCAGCTGCCGCTGCAGGCCGTGGATGAGGTCCGGCCGGTGCTCGACGACGTCCTCGGCGTGGAAGAAGAAGATGGTCAGCAGCGCGTGCACGACCTGGTAGTCGAACCCCTGCGCCTGGGCAAAGTCGGCCGCGACGTTGCACGCGTAGTTGAGCTGGTTCCGCGAGTTCAGCAGGTCCATGTGGTCCCGCAGCGACGTCGACGCCAGCTCCTTCGTCACGGCTGCCCGGAGCTCGTCGATGTTGGTCACGGTGAGGGCATCTTCGTCTATGCTGCGGCCGCCTGTTACGCCCGCTACGAAGTGTGACAGCGTTTCCCGTATCGTAGCATTCTGGGCCTGGTTTTCCCGCCGCATATCAGTGAAAAGCTACACAAGCTTGTGGTGAGGGATAAATGGGGTTAAGTAGGATAGTAATACCTCAGAGAGCTTGGTCATCATATCTGTCAATCGAACACTGCGAATAGAGTTCTAGCAGTTGTCTGTTTGAGAAGGCAAAGAATGACTTGTCGTGTCAATTTATTCCGTGTGTTTGTCATAGCTACTAGCAGAAGAATTTATTTGAAATATAGAGACACGGCTAACTGCCGAATCCGCGCCCGAGTAGGCACAGCGAATACACGCATCTAGCACATATCAAATCGAAGGCAAGATTCTAGGTAGGCAAGCTTGGCGAAGTTGCTTCACCGCTTCCTACTCAGTACGTCTATCCACTGAAGACATCTCGACTAGATCCTGGGGGGTGCCAAGATACGACTCCTGTAGTATGCAGCCACGGATACCCACGATACCGCTGTCGACGGTTGCGGGAATTTGCGAAGGATTTTTCCTCTTGCGTGGGCTTGCGGGTGGTTATCCCTCTGGATGCCGAGAGAGCTCGTTTGCTCGCACTGAGGCTCGCACACTCCTATCGAACCGTCCAAGTTCCAAGGATCATGCATCTATTGGGCCCTGCATTGACATATCTGGCCGTCCGGAGTTCGTTTGATCGGAGCTGATCGGAGTAGCCTGCCGTGGCAAATCAGGGCTTCAGAAAGGATTTGGACCCTTGTCAGTACGTATGTGAGACAGGGATTTAGAAGCTTTTCAAGAGGTGCCTGACCTAAAGTATGCAGGTGGCACATATGTGATTAGGACCCAAGGGGCTGTTACATACCCCTGAGCTAGTTGACCGAAATCGACTCAGGGGCGAAGAATAGCGGGATGCTTGAAATAATGTATCTAGTATGTTGGCACATCATAGGCAGCCCGAAAAGACCCTCGTAACGGTAGATCCTGGTCGAATCATAAGTAATCTATCGGCAGATGAGATCAACACTGTCAACGATCGTCGGGACATGTTCTGTATTCGAGAGATCGTTATGACGAGCCACTTTCGATACATTACCATGAAAGTACCTAGAGAACATTGAATACACTTGTACCGCGTATATTTGCCTATGTACTACTATATACGTCTATGGTCACTATGGTGCGGGATGTGAAGGTATCCGGCATAACTTCTTGCTATGAAGCAATTATGTAGGAGATGGAATATGATAAGTATACATAAACACAAGCTTAAGAAGTGGCAGGCTTGGGCTGTTCGAGAAGAACATCAATAACCTTGTGATCATTGTAGGTAGCAACGGTACGCTCGCACAGCACATCGACACGCTCTTTGGACTGCAGGCCGTCGGGGCAGATGAGCCAAATGACGTTCGTCATGAATGAGCGTCGATATTCGATCATAACCTCGGGGTCGTTGTGGCGATCGAATTTGGGCCCGCCTAGCTTGTGTAGGGTGTCGAGGTAGTGGTCAAGGATCTCCATCTCATGGGCACGGCGGTCCTCAATACTCAACATAGCCGTCATGTGGTAGACAATGTCGTGGAAGCAGGATCCGAAGTGAAAGGCGGACCAGTCGAGGAACCCGATCTCACCCTTGGCGGTGAAGTAGATATTGCCGATATGCGTGTCGCCATGTAATAAGGTCCGGAAGCGCGGATTACGCTCGGCATAGTAGCGGTCCAGCGCCTCGTTGCAGCGTTTTCCATCCATCAGATACTCAGGCAGCTTGGGCCGGCCGGGCTGTCGTACCACGTCAGACCATGGAGTACACATGAACTTCATAGCAGCATCATAGTTGTTGTATATCCCTATTGCAACGTCACGTTAGCATAAAGCGAGGCCAAGCCGAGGAGACAGGCCCTTGGGCCTGCCTTGGACAGCAAAGGCTAACCGGAGAAAGGGGATTAAGGGACGTCAACCGAGAAAAGGGAAGAAAAGGTTTCCTACAGGGATGATCTTCCTGACTCTGGCCCCAGTACTTTGCATGTAGGCCTGCTAGCTGCTCGACCCCATTCATCACCTTCTCGACAGGGTAGGAAGCGACCTCGGCCGCAAAGGTGCATCCCTCCTTGGTGAGGTCGTTCATGATGGCGATGCCCTGCTTGTCGCTGTTGGCCGCCCACCAACCCTTAGGGAAGATCATGTTTTCGATTTGTGGCGCCAACTGAGAGAAGAAGTCGGCCTCTTTCTGGGCCAGACTAACCACCCATGGCTGGGCTGCTATCATTTTGGGGTCGAACACGCCCTTGATACAGACATTTGATGGTCTGTCGCTGCTGCCGTGGCTTCCGTCCTCGTACTCGATGGCATAGAACAGTTTGCTGGCCGTTCCCCAGATGCTGTGCGTGTTCTGGATCGACTTTACTTTGTGCCCAAGCTTGGAACCCAACCACTCGGCGGTGATGTTCGCAGGAAGGGCGGGAAGCGTCTCCGAAGTCTTTGTAGCAGCCATGGTTCTTTCGCCACTTCTTCCGCAGTTTGCCTTGCCTGCCGTAGGAATAAACGTGTTGAAAAGATGCGTAAAAGTAGGCGATACGATGGCATGTTGCTTGGCAGCAAGGCCTGCGGCTCTTCTTATATACCTATATGAAATCAGTCGAGATATGTTTACAAGTTCTCCTTGCTACTATTGGCTACATAGGCAGCCATTCATGCACACGGAGCCTGGCATCTGATGGCAGGTTAGCATCCGTTCACGCAGCGGTAAGCGTTGCAATACATGCAATACTATGCCCTACTGCGTCTGTTCTCCAACAGTTGCTGGCGGAATGCACCTCCTTACCTGCCAGATACCCAGGGTCTTTAAATTACCTGGGCAGAGAGCCTGGGTGACCCCATCAGGCCAAGCAGACAGACCCAAAGAACAAATTCCCTTTCCCCAACCTGTGGTACAAATCCTGTTCAGTCCTGCCGCGGCCTTTTGATAGCCTGATGAAACGGTGGGCAATCCACGAAGATCGCCTGCAGGAACTAGCGACCAGGACCTGGGGCCCCCGTACGCACCACAATAAAAGAAGCACATACATACCGGATACGCGTGCAGGATACATAAGGTTCGATAGTACGTACATACGTAAACCCCGTCTGGGAGTCTACGTGAGGATTGGGATGTCCTCAGCTCTGCTGGTGTGGGGGACCTGCAGCGGCGGCCCTGGGAGTACCAAGTTGCGGTCAGGCTCAATTTCCGCAAAAGACCACATCTGGCCATATTCAAGACTTCAGATGCTAGGCAGCCGGCAAGTGATGTTCAGATAGGGAACCAGCGGTCTCTGAGCGACCAGTACATAGTAACCATGGCCTGGGAGACAAGCATCGGCCCACCAACTACCCGACGGAGTTGGATTTGAGGCTCCTCTCACGATTCTTGGCCTGAAACGGAAGGATGAACCTGCCAAATGGTTGAGCTGGAGCCCGGCAAGGTCTGGGTCAGTAACATGCATAGCGCACATCCTGCTGTCAAGTTGAGCCCTTGTCTGTACATGGACAATTATTCTTCCGTTCTGCACAAGGCAGTTGATACAGAGACAAGATCATGGGTATGGTATACCTTAACTTGAGTGATGAACGCTCAAGGTAAGCAATCGCAACCTTCTTGGAAAGATAGGCCAAAGACAGCAGGTTTTACTGACTAGGAAATAAAGAGACAAAACGAAAAATTAAAGTTGTAAGCACCGAATGTGGGTCGAACACATGACCTTAGGATCTGCAATCCCACGCTCTACCACTGAGCTACCGGTGCTTGTTGACGGGCTCTCCGCTAGTATACATTATATTCTAGTCATCGACGCAACTCCGAGCTGCCCTACACCCATTGTTTGTCTTAGCTTGGCGCAGACTCATAACCGAAAGCAGGTACCAATGGATGGCTGGCATAAAAATTCCAAAACAATTATCACAAATGTGATATCCCTTGGAAGCCAGCAGGGAACGAGCAGCGATGCCCGCACGGTTTTGCTTAATCGGCGACCATCGGCTTTGATTCCTCGGGATCTCACCTCGTTAGTCATTCCCTTAGAGGCACCTTTCGTGAAAGAATCCTAAAACTTCGACCTGTCTACCGCACCAACATCAAATCTCGCCGTGAGATTTTCTGGCGAACATGAGATGAACACCTTGTGCAGGAAGTTTTGTAGCGCATTAGCTTATGCACGCCGTTCTAGGCGTTGTTCTGTACAGCGTCGGTCAAGGTGCTGACAGGTCGCGATGACATCGAAGTGGCATCCTGGCATCAGGGATATCTAGAGCTGACTTGTGCACGGCCGGGGAAAGCCTTCGACGAGCGTGGAGTGGTTCGGATCCTGCCCCAAGTCCCCGGCTCCGGACTCTACCCTGGTATACATACCTGGCATATAGGCTAAGTGGGCGTAGCGAGCCGTTGCCCAACCCTGAGTGTCGCCTGAGGGAGGGATCGCCTGTTGTGTGAAATGACAGGAATGAGAACCCTGAGGTTATACTCGCCAGTGGAATCGCTTCCTATTGGTCGATGGCCCAGTGTATGAACCGTCTCCCTCGGCTCGCCCAGTCTCGTCGAGTTCGTGATATGCAGCCAACGCAATGCGACCCTCATGCTTCACTCGAGCAGTCCTACCCTTGACCTGCCCTTGATAATGTTCCTGTCCGGCTTCCGTTTCGGGCTCTCATCTAATGCCCTATGTATCTAGTATCATGGAGAGATGTCGTTCCCTACAGTCGCCCCATGTCGAAAGAGCAATGGAAGCTTGACAACAGGGTTCCAATGTGGCGGAAGGATCGGAAAGGTCGAGACAATTTGGTCTCATTTGCGTTTGTACACGGTTTGGCACTCGCCCCTGAAATCATTACCTCTTTGAATCTCTTTCGCATTCCCGATGCATGGTCCCTAACAGCATCCGTAGATTGGGTGATCAGTCAGGGCAGAGCCGATCAGGTCTTCATACGGTAGATGCATCTCTTCTTATTTTGTAGCATCCAAAGTATTGTGTCCTCCTCCGTGAATTCCATATGAAGGTCGCAGTTGCCATCGTACTTACGGACAGGAGATGTGAATAATCTCGACGCTTGAAGGTTCACAATCATCGACAATATTTCAGCTTCTTCTATAGCCATGGCGAAAGATTTGACAACTACCAAGTATGAGCCGATCGAGCCGGAAGGCCTGGCACGGGTGCTCCTGGTGGTGACTATCGTGATGACTCTCCTGACGACTATTGTCGTTGCCTTACGATTATACGTACGGAGAATGACACGCACAACGGCTATAGATGATTGGATCATGCTGGCTGGCTACGTGAGTATTTTCTTTTCTTTAAAGTGCGGCTCTGTGACGAGCTGAAGTCATGGTCCGCATCAAATATTCCTTCTTCTTGACCTACCCCTATGTCTTGTGACCGCAGAACTGACGCAGCCACGTTCCGAAAAGATTCTCAATCTCGCCCACAATGCTTCGGTCATCGTGCTTTCAGTCAGCGGCATCGGATCACACGACGACGTTATCACGGTGGGCATGCAGTATAAGATAGGGCTTTGGACGATGATCTGGCAGTTCATCTATGTCCTAGATGGCGCTCTGATCAAGTCCAGCATTATCTTTGCTATGCTACGACTCGCAACCCAAAGGAAATACAAGTTCATCCTTTGGGGGCTGTTCGCTTTAGCTTGGATTACTTGGCAGATTTCGTGGCCAGTGGCCATTTTCCAGTGTAAACCTGTGTCCGCGGCTTGGGGCGAGCCCGGAGACTGCACTTCGGGCCAAAAGGTGATCCTGAACGTGAGCTACTTCGTGGTAAGTAAATGCGGAAGCCCTCCACGATCGAAACTGGCCATCCTTTGAAGTGCCCAGGCTGACTCGCTGCTAGTCTGCGACCAACATATTCACGGATCTGGCTACTGCCTTGACCCCTATTCTCCTTTTGCGCCACGTGCAACTGGCGCCGAACATCAAGCTCCTCACCATGTTCATCCTGTCTCTCGGTGTGCTGGCCTCGGTCGCCACGACGATCCGCATCACCTACACCTGGGCCTACACGACGCCGACGAACCGGTTCTACGAGATCGCCAAGATCGTGCTGCTGACGGTCCTCGAGTGCGACCTCGGCATCATCGCCGGGTCCCTGCCGATGCTGCGCCGCCTGTTCCCCAGCCTCGCGCCCTCAAAGTCCGGCAGCTCCGCCATGCCGCGCTCCAACGACGTCAACCTCGTCACCATCGGCGGCGGCCGGCGCACGCGCTACAAGCTGGAGCAGTCGCTCGACGGCACCAAGGTCGGCGCCCACGACCACCACTTCCTCGACAAGGAGACAACCGACAGCGCCGACAACTCGGACAAGGGCTCCACCAGCCGCATCATCTACGTGACCCGCGAGGTCGAGCAGTCCAGCGTCACGGGCGAGGACGGCCAGGACCTTGCCGGTACCAACCAGCACAGAGACTACGATAGACGCCACCGCACAGCCGTTTCTGGAGGCCCCTTGAAGTATAAAGCTTAGACCAGTCGAGGTTCGATAGTGTCCGGATGATGGAGTTTGCTTTGTGTGTTCTGTGGTTCTTGTGTGAATTCTGTGAATTCTTGGATGTATTATCGATTTCCTAAAATCGGCGTGATAGCGTGTTGGTAGATCGAAAAGCGTTTGCTGGCAACCTAGAATACTATCCTTTGCCTCTTCAGAGAGGAAAGAAAAAACCTACAACTTGCGTTCCAAGACGCCTAGATAGTTACTAATCCAAATGTCATTAATGGTTCTCAAAGAAGAACCTCACCAAGGTCGTATCGTTGTGATCTCTGTGATAAGTGATAGACAATTATTTTCCAACGTCTCGACTGCAATTAAGTATTTGGCCGTGGCCGGACCAAGGCATGCTATCTAGATTGACGATTTCGTGGTAGACTACTCGCCTCTGTTCTCGCCTGGCGTCAAGAGCCCTAAATTTCAACTCATCCATGTATCTCCAAGAAGACCGAGATATCAGCGACAGATCGGAATCGCGATCTAATGTAACAGGGCACATCCGGCCCGCTGGAGTTGGCGTTGTAGTGGGATCTCACTCGATACTACGCATTCCTGCTTGGCGCGGTCCGTCAACCTAGCGCCCAAGATTATATGATCAGTTATTATAGAGTATGTGCGTACTCGACCCCTTCGCAGTAAACCCACCAATACTCTACTCGGCCGAAGAACAGAGACACTCAAGTGCGGATCGCCAGATGGACCGATCTGACCGCCCAGTCGCACTGAAAGAAAAGTGGTGCCTCAAGTCAAGTGGCTCAGTGCGCATATGGTATTCCATCTGCGTCATCTACATCATCACTTGTGTACCATGGCCACAACCTGCGCGTATCATAGCGCTGAGTCGCATTGAATACAGAAAGCTCGCTCAAGTATGCAAGGGGATACATGTCATGCTAGCTGACTCATCATTGTCCATGAATCAAGCGCAGCTCTCTATGCCCAAGTACCCAATGTCATAACCCTCTCGAGATCAATACTCTTAATGAGAAGTCCAGACCCTGAACTTGTCAATTGACGTTGTAGTCCAAGTACATATTGAATTATCTTCACAGTAGCCATGCTAGCATGTCATACGCAGCTTGTGTATACCTCTCCGGACGAATGGCCTGGTTGACAGCAATGGACACTTTGATATAATCGTTTACACAAGACTCCAAGATGCCTAAGAGCAAAAGGTGATCTATCGGTTCGTTCTAGAATCTATTCTAGCTTCAGATCCTCGAACTGCTTGATCGTTCCCTCAAGATCCTTGGCCCCGGCCTCGAGGTCGACAAGCTTCTTCTTGTCGCTCTCTTGGACGGCCGCATCCACCTTTTCCAGATAACCTGCACCATTGATTAATTTGCTTTGTTTCTGGATAGCTGCACGAGCCTTTTCTAGTTTCTGGCTGGCCTTGGTAATCTCATTGTCATAATCCACGCGACCCTTGACCTTCAAGAAGACGGCCGCAGAACTAGAAACAGAGTAGGAAACAGAGCCTAAGGGACGCTCAGAGACAGACTCAATGCTTGAGACACCCTTCCCACACAAAGATTCGATCGATTGCATCTGTTCTGTGACAGTCTTGAGGGCAGTATCGTTGTATGCCTGTACGAAGACTGTGGCCCCTTCCTTCACTCCGTATTCCGCCATCAAAGATCGGATGCCCTTGGAGCAACCCATAACGAGCTCATAAGCGGCCTCGGCGGCTGGGTTGTCGAGCGATTTCTCATAGACTGGGTACTGTGCAAGCATAATAGAAGGCGTCTCATCGCTAGGTCTCCTAGGGAGACGTTGCCACAATTCCTCGGTCAGGAAAGGCATAAATGGGTGGTTCATCTTTAGCGCGCTCTCAAGAGCAGTATAAAGTGTTTCCATGGCCGAGTGGGACTCTTCCTTAGTACCATTCTGGATCAATGCCTTAGAGTTCTCGATGAAGACATCACAGAGCTCGTTGTACCAGTACCGGTAAATGCTGCCGGTAGCCTTGGCGAACTCGCGTTGAGGAACCGCTTCGTTGACTTCCTTCGCACACTGGTTCATTTTATGCAGAATCCATTTCTCGGCAAGAGTCTCCTTTCCAGTAAGCTGGGCGGTCTTCTGGGGGACAAAATCCTTGTCCACGGTGCCCAGAACGTATTTCGTGGCTTGATAGATCTTGTTACAGAACTTGCGATATCCATGCATGACCTTGATGTCGAAATTGATATCAACACCACCGGTAGTATAGTTCACCATACAGAATCGCAGAGCGTCCGCTCCGCATTCCGGGATG